CAGAGACTGCTTACACAAAGATTGACAAGAAGCAGAGAAAGGCAGGCATCAAAGGCATGTTTAACTCTCAAAGGCCCAGGCCTAGTGACCTACCTCTGCCAGTTAGTCCCCACCTCTTAAAGGCTTTGCAGGGGCTGGAGAGATGGCTCACTGGCTGTTCTTACAGAAGACCTGGGTTCAATTCCCAGCACCCACATGGTGACTAACAACCATCTGAAACTTCAGTTCCAGTGGATCCGACACCCTCTTCTGACCTCCAAGGGCATTGCATGACATGGATGCACTTACATGCAGGCAATGCACTCATACACATAAAATAAAAATAATAAATAAAATATTAAAAAAAATTTAAAAACCAAAAATAGCACCACAAACTAGGGTCTCAGTGTTCAGAATATGAAACTGTTGGGGGCATTTCAGATAAAAACCATAACACTGCTCATAAGAGGCACCTTTGGCTAGATGGTGAGTGTCCCCCAAAGGCCTGTGTGTTGAAGGTTTGGTCTCCAGCCTACAGTGCCACTGGGAGGTGGTAGGATGTTTAAGAGGTAGGACCTCGGGGGAGATAATTAGATCACTGAAGACATGTTCTTGAAGGGGATTGTAGGGCCATGGCCTCTTCTCACTTGATTGTGGGGCCATGGCCTCTTCTCAATCACAGCTTCTTGGCTGCACTGAGGTAAGTAAGCACCTCCTTTACCATAGGCCTTCCTATCATGGTACTGCTTCTCCACAGGCCCAAATGATGGAAACCATGAGATAAAATAAACCTTATTTTTACAGACTGAAACCACGAGCCAAAATAAACCTTAGTTTTCCTTTTTAAGTTGATTATTCAGCTATTCTGTCACAGTGATGGAAAGGTCAGCCAATACTGACTCTATTACAGTTCTATGTTCCAAACCTTTGAGAAACATGTTCTTTCTCCTACCAAACAGATTCACAGTGTCCAATTCTATATTGGCAATCATGCAAAAGTTCATATAGCAAAGAAACCGTTTTGGCTCTGCTCAGTCCAGAGATCTACAAATATATTGACCTCAAGTGCTTATTTTTCAATTATACTAATTAAAATTTGACAGAATGGGCATTCTACAGGAAACATTTTGCAGAATAAATGTCTAAGTTCATGACCGGAGCTAACAGGTGGTAACTCTGTAAGAATAAAAGATACAGCCCACATGGAAGCCCATGCCTGAAATCCCAGTACTCCCAGTATGCTCCAAGTCACCCTGGAATATAGAAAAGATGCTGTTTAGAAGCAAACAAAGGAGGCCTGGAGAGGTGGCTCAGCTGTTAAGAGCACTGACTGCTCTTGCAGAGGACTCGGGTTCGATTTCCAGCACCCACATGGCAGCTAACAACTGTTCATACCTCCAGTTCCAGGGAATCCAACTTCCTCTTCTGACCTCCTCCGGCACTTCATGAAGGACTCAAGTAGTGCACTTACATGCAGGCATTGCACTCATGCACATAAAACAATAATAAATAAATTATAAAAAAAGAATGACAATAACCCCAAACCAAGCAAATGACCGCCATACACTGTAACCATGTATAATAGGAAAACAGAAATACAGCTGTAAAAATTGCTAAATTAACTGGTAATTGAACTTACAGTTTTTTCATGTGGTGCTAGGGTTGGAACCCAGGGTCATGAGCATGGTAGCCAAGAGTACTGCCACAGAGCCACAGCCCAAGTTTATATTTTGTTGATTATGTTTCTGTCCAGTGTTTGTTTCTTGCTTGTTATTAAATTCCACGCAGATTTTTGTCATCTCATTGTTTTACTGACCTAAATTACATGATATAAGCTTTACCATATTATCCATTTTGACTGTATCATGTATCAATTGGTGGCATTGAATTCATCCATGTACCTTGCAGCCTTCATAGTTAGTCCTCCCTCACCAGGTCCACCCACCCCTTTAAAAAAAAAATATTTTAATTATGTTCTGTGTGTGTTTGTGTATTGTGAGTGCAGGTACTCATGGAGTCCAGAAGAGGGTGTCAGATTCCCTGAAGCTGGAGATACCGGTAGTTGTGAGCCACCTGGCATGGATGGGAACTGAACTCAGGTCCTACAGAAGAGTAACAAATGCCCTAAACTTCTGAGCCATCTCTCAAGTCCACCAGGTTTTTTTCTTCCTAGACTGAAACTGTATTGTCTTCTGATAGCCTTTCCTAATGTTGCATTAGAAACATCCATCTGCAATGTATTTTCTTCATAGCATTCAGTTTTAGGTATTGTGAAACATCCTACCATAGGCCAACACTTAGGACTTTGCCTATTATTGGGCATTTACATTATATTTGTTTTTCTCTTTTGCAAGTAGAGTATATAGCATTTTCCAAATTTTGCAGGACAACCACTAGATTGAAGAATATGAACATTTTAATGATTAGAATTTTTTAAAAATTTATTTTTTATTTCATGTATATGAGTGTTTTGCTTGCATATTATGTATATAATCCCCTAAGGATAGAAGAGGGTGTCAGATCCCCTGGGACTGGACCTAAGGACCTATGTTAATTGCCGGGTGGTACTGGGAACTGAACCTGGGTCCTCTGCAAGAGCAGCTAGTGCTCTTAACCACTGAGCCTTCTCTCTAGACCTGTATTTTAGTGCTTTTTTCTTTTTATTAAATGAAGGTACCAATTTCTTCTAAGTTACAGAAAATTTATACTTAGCCCACTCATTGATTGCTTGATATATTCATTCATTTTTTCAAACAAACAAAACTTAGGTTAGATTTGGGGGCTGGTTCATGCTTGTAATTCCAGCACTCAGGATGCTGAGGCAGGAGAGTCAAGCGCTCAAGGCTGGCCTGAGCTGCAAGCAAGCAGATTTGCCAAGTATTAGCTATGTGGCACTACTGCATGGTCTCTACTAAAGTGACTGTAAGCCACAAAGGCCCGCTTTAGTTACAAGCCCTAGGGATAAAAGGACTGTTGCTTGTCCCCAAATTGAACTGCATTTCTTCTGTTTTTATTCAGAAAGCATCTTTATGGATTCCTTTCCTTTCTCTTCACCTCCCCCATTTGTTTGTGTATGTGTAGTTGTGTTAATTACTTCATCCTTAATCTAGTTTCCTTGTTTGTCAACTGAGAAAAATTATGTCATGTGATTGTTTCCTGAACTCACTGAGACACTGTACAATCTCGATTCCTCAGTGTGGTATTGCACATCTAAGACAGAATCTGGTACATCTTAAGCACTCTCAAAGTATTACCTGTACTGTTGTTGCTCCATCACAGAGAAGGGGAAATGAATTCTTCCTTCTCCCAAGGAATAGCCAAGATAGGAACCGGGGCACTATGCCCCTATTTGTCAATAACTAAAGGTTTCTGTGTATTTAAACAAACAAGCTGCTAAGTAAAGTGCATCTTTCATCTCTTGCAAGGAGAGAACAGACAAATTAGTATGTGGATAGACGAGTTTCCTCTATTTTTACTGTGGAAAATTACTGCTAATTTTGGAAAGTTCGGCTAAGTCCTGAGAAAGGAAACATATGTCTTTCAGTTTTTGGTTACCCGTGATCCTGGAAAGTTACTCAATTTAAGGAACAGAAAAAATGGTAAAGTGTGGTTAAAGTTACAGGTTAAGGAGCTAGGAAAAATACATCGTATCCCAAGACAGATGAGCTGAACTAAACTGAATTGATAAGGGTTGGGCTGTATACTTTAATGAGCAAGCTATGAGATCAGAAACTACTTCATGTAGCTTCTATTCTTATCAATTTTTAAAAAAAGGGTCTTTCCCTCTTACATCCTGATCTATATGTACATGTACAAGATACACACACACACACACACACACACACACATATATATGGCATGCATTCACTTGCATTTATATTTCCAGGCTGTTCCTAACAGCATATATTTGATTATAGGACTATGGGGCTTGGGTAAATCATGTGAAGTTATATTAAGCTGGATTTCATATCGTGTTGATTTTAAAAGGCTACATATGTCTAAGTGATTGACATGTCAAACTGTTGTAAGTTGAATAAATGACATCAAAATTCTGAATAAAAGTTATGTTTATTCAATTGTGATCACACCTACCTCAGAGATATTTTTTGCAAACACGAATAAAGTATGCAACTATACAGTTTTGCCACAGAAGCAAGTCAGGATGGAGTTTGGTGAAACCACTCCAAGAGGCTTAAATCGGAAACTGAGAGGCTTCACCTTTGGAATACAGCATTTTATTCTTCCAGACCAACCATGTATTGTTGTTTACGTTGTCGGGGTAGTCTTCTTTTTTTTTTTGTCATCAAATGCTTACTTCTTAAATATACGAGACAGTGAAATATACATGATGGTCGAAAATAAAACAAACCCCCAGCCCTGAACTACTCCACCCGGCTACGCGAAGGAGAGCCTCTAGGAGCTTCCCGAACAACAAAGTCAGTGACGCGGCAAGTAAATTCAAAACCAGAAACGACACACGCCAGCTGTTCACATTGGAAACTTACCCAACGTTTTATTCTGATCCAAGCTTTATTTATTATATGAAGCAGGGTCAGTAAGTTTTCAATGGGGGTGGGGCGTCTTATTCCTTACATCAATAAGGAAGAGTGAATGTTCAGGGCAGCTCGGCGTTTTCCTACGGTTGCTTCCACGCACCCCTTTTCTCCATCAGTCGCTCCGGTGGGACCTCCTCGTAGGGCACAGAAACACCGGGACGCCACCGCTCGGGTTGAGGCCGTGCAGTCAGGCCCCAGTGCTCCACCACTGTGGCCTCTGGGAGCGGGATCTCTGCGACCCCGCAGCGAGCCGCGCCGCATCCCCTTTTCCCACTCGCTTCTCGGGAGCTGAGCGGCCACCGAGCCCAGGTGGCGAACAAAGGCGGCGGGAGGCGCGGGGCGCGCGGCCGGGCTGGCGCGCGAGTCTCCGGCAGGAGACGGCGGCGCGCCGGAGCCCGCATTCCTGAGAAGCGGCCGGAGCTCGCGGGGCGACGTCACCCCAGGCTCCGCCCCCGTCCCTCCCCAAGCAAAGTAACTCCGGACTACCCGAGCAGCCTGCGCCGAGCATGGAGAGCGGCCGCGGACGGCGGGCTACGCGGGAGACGCTTTCGCCCGGGAGGTAGTTTGGCGACGTTGGAGGACAAAAGTGCCGGCGGGTGGCCGCGGCGTCCCCGCGAGCCCCCCACGAGGCCGGGCGTCCGTGTGGCTCCCGGATTTCGCCGCGATCCCCCGGAGGCTCTTTGCAAAGCTGTTCGAAACTTCTCCCAAACTCGCCATGGATGCGGCGGCGGCGGCGGCTCTGCTTGCTTTTGTGGCGCTCTGGCTCCTGTCCCCGTGGCCTCTACTGGGGTCTGCCCAAGGCCAGTTCTCCGCAGGTGAGTGGCCCGGGGCGTGTGGGTCGGTGAATGTCCCCAGCCTCGGACTCCGGGGGAGCAGAAACTGGCTGACCGCCCGGGCGGGGGCCGGAGATCGCGGGAAGCGTTCATTCCGGGCTTGGGGGGTGCGGGCTGGGACCAGATCCACCCCGGGAGTTTGTGCCAGGTGGGGCGCGGGGCCCGGGGCTGGGCGCCATCGGGCGCAGGTAACTTTAGCGTTCGCGACCCATTGTTTCCAAGGCTGGCCCGGCGCGCCGGGGCTGTGCTGGATGGAGCGAGTGGCGACCTTGCTTTTCTTGGGTGAACTGCTTGGTGGCCTCCGAGTGTGGCGCGGCCCGCACCGGCTTAGTGCGGGAACAGAGAGAAAAAGTAGTTTTTACTCCGAGGACCTCGACTCTTTGGCTCGTTGTGCGGGCTGGTGGCTCTCTGCAGCCAGAGGGTTCAAAAAATTCCCCGGGAAGCCATTGTCAGAAATGTGGGGACGCGATGAACTGACCTCGGCGCGCTCTGCCAGGTGCTTTTTGTCCGGGGAATAACCTCCTCTGATTATTGTCCAACTACTTCCCTGTCCCTCCTGGAGACTCGTTGCTCCTCCTCTAGCAGAGTTGCTCCGGGATTCAGTGCCCTGTGTGAGTTAGGGCACTGCTTGCAGCATGTTGCGTGTGTATGTTGGCGGAGTCCTTAAGATGTTTGGAAATGTGGGTCCAAGGATCGATGCAGAGCCACCCTGGGCGGCGAGGTGTGGGCACCCAGTCGGGGAAGGCTGGCCCTGCTCGTGTGGCGAAACCACCAGGAAGCTGGCTCTCGTCCTCCTGGAGCCTGCCTGGCTGACCTGGGCTGGAAGCGATCGCCACCCGCCCGGAGACCGTCGGCGGGGGGATGCGGGGCAACGACGTATGCTATTCCTTTGGGGTTTTAAGTAAACCCACTTAGAGAATTACGTGGGCGTCGGGTCCCTCACACTAGCCCTCTCTGTTCTGGTGCAGTTTGATAGCCTTCCTGCGGGTCGGTTGCGTCTGTGTCTCTCTCTAGGGGCTCTGAAGTTTCACCAGGTGGACGCTGGGGAGCTGGCTCCCAGGTCGAGCATCTGCCTCCAGCAGGTCTAGGCAACTTTTCTAAGGCCAACACACCCAGCTCTGCTTGACTGGCGGGCGCCTCTGTTGCCTTGGTTCCCAGCGCAGATGGAAACGCAGAGGTGGCCGAGGGTGATGGAGAAGACCGGAACCGCGACAGCCGGGCTTCGGGCTGAGCCCACAGGATGCAAAGGCAGAACTTACTTTGTACTTGACAGTTCCTCTGCTGTTGAGACTGCTCTATTTCCTGGAAATAAACTCAAGACGTTTTTTTCTGGCGCAAATCCTCTTTAGCCTTTTTTCTCCCCTCCCCCTTTAGAAATCTACAAAAGGAGTTCGAGCTCAGATTCAGGTGTCTGCGTGTGTCTTAGGCACAGACTGTGAAATGGCAGCAGACTGAGGAAAGGTCTTGAACATAGGTGCTGTGTGCCGAGGGCAACAGCTCTATGAAACCAGGGCTCCGACGATTTAATTTAATTCTCTCTGAATCCAGCGTTACCGCGTGCGTCTCTGACATACAATGCTGTTAGTATTGGAACCGTGCTTGATGTAACTCATTAAATGCAGGCAAGTTGGAGAGAGTATTGATTTCTACACAGAGCTTGTCACCGCACAGAGCCTAGCTTGAAAAGGCATGTAGTTTGTTAATTGAAAGTTTGAACTCTACCAGTTGCATGATTAAATACATGTATTCAGGAATTACAACTATTAATGTCTTAGCAGCTGATGGATATATTTCCAATATTGGAGAAACTTTTCCTTTTCTCTTTTGCAACGTTATTTACAAATAAATACTGTTGTTTCCCTCAGCAAATGTGTAGATGTGCTTTTGGGATACCCCAAGTTTAAATATCTTAAATGAGCAATTGTGTTCTTAGACATCCAGCTCTAAGTGATTTAGCTGAACATTTCTGGCTCGTCTCTAGTAGCAATGCATAACATTTGACTTTATATTTAATCAGTGGAACATGCAGTCCTAATAAATGCAGTTCTCACAGGACTGTAGGTCAACATCTTGCTATTCAGAATATGCATATATGCCCATAAACGAATGCCATTTATTCCTCAAACTTAAAATCAGATTGTGAACCTTTCTGTCTCCCTCCAGAGGTTAGAAGTTTCTTTTGTAAATGTTTACATTTTCTAGCTATCACAGATCATTTGATATTGTCATATCAAACTGTGGCAAATTTGCTTAAAAAGAAAAACAAACCTTGGAGATGAGTTAGAGATTACGAGTGTATTTTTCCTTGCCTCTTTTTTCTGATACTGTTTTAAATGATGAAATTCTGAAGAAATGTAAATAAACATGATTCAAGTTCATTTTTTAGATTTTTAAAGAAACTCACTTTGTTAAATGTGTATTTTAAATCATGCTCACCAAGGTTAGATTACCATGTTCTAGTGTCGCTGTGTGACTTCTAATGTAGTAAGTTGTACAACAGATTTGGAAAGATTGCATAGTTGGATTTTTGATAAGTCATGTGCACATTGAATCCCTGTGTGTTTTAATCACACATTTAACACTTTCCTTACTTTCCATCTTTCGTTTTGTAGTTAAAGTGTGAAACTGCTTGATGAACCTTTTAAAAGTCTGGCCTTTCTGTAGATTTCAGCTTTCACTGGAGTCTCTACTTGTGTCTCATCTGTATTCTCTTTGGGAAAACTGAGGCAAAGAAGCACACAGTGGTGCTACAATCTGTTTCCTGGGCTTTGTAGCTGTTACCTTCTGGCATCACCATGTAAACAAGCTTTCTGCAGAACTCTTATGCCTGACAAAACCAGTCTTACCAATGAGGTGACTTGGAAACTCAGCTTTCTCATCTATAAAATGGGGATAATAATACCCGTCTTGGCCTTTCCACATAGTTTTTATGAGGATCAAGTGAAGTCATTTATGTGAACTAGCACTGTCTATTGTAAAGCACAGCACAGCTATCTGGGGTGTAATCATCATAAATTAAGGTAGCCGAAGTGCCTGAGTTTCAGCTTTGACTGCTCTTGAACTCTCAGAACTCTCTCGTTACTGTATATAGGTTGTTCAGAATGTGTGTCTGTGATTCCGCCAGTCCTCCATTTTATAATAAACAGCCTAGATTGTTCCAGACCATAAGTAGCAGAATTATCTTTGAGTTAAAATAAAATAAAACAAAACACAGCTATGTAAGCCTTTCATGAGTTAAACTCAGGAAGAGTTACTGTTTATATTCCTGGTAGCCTAAATAATTAGTCTTTTTTTTTTTTTTAGCCATTTGTTGAACTCCTGGTTCAGTTTTTCATCGCACCATAGAGGAAAACACCCAGCAGCTTTAGTTTTAGGTGCAGTCTTATCAATGACCTAGAGGGGGACTATTGACTCTTTTAGTATGATGTGAATCATACAGCTCAAGATTCTGCCTTAGATGGGGTTCCTGGCATATAACCCTGCTGATCCCCTAGGACCTTGCATCTCGTCTAAATAGAGCCACTTGCGTTGTGTCTGACTTCTTGTCTCTAATGAAAAATTAATTTTTCTTAGGCTTATTATCTACTGGGAAGATATACTAGAGTTAGTCTTAGGTTAAAGCTTGCCATTTAGTTTTCTAGTTTTGACAGACTGGTATCCTCTGTTGCATTAATGCGTTAAAATTCTAAATTCTACTCAATAATGATATGGACAATTCTGGAACTGTTATTTTCTCTTACTGGTTCCTTTATATCTGATTTCCTAGATTGTGAGATGTCATTTTGTGTCTGGCCTGCCCAGACGGCAAGAGGCAGGTTTGGCTGCTGTTTGGTCACTGGCATGTGTGTTGCTGACAGCTCTTCTTGTGTTCGTGAACGTGAATCTAAAAAACAAATCAGTCAATCAACTCCATTGCTACTCTGCCACTTTTCCATACTTCCTCCCACACCTCCCTGGTAGCAACTAAACCCCACATCCATATTTACAAAATCACAAGACTTTTGTTCTCATCAAATATCTTTAGGTGCTGGACATGTTCTTTAAAACTAGAAATAAGACCAGTACATGACCCAATACTAATGCAATCTTCTCACATAGGAGAACATTTTCTATGTCCAGCAATGATGTTTTCAGACCTATTTTTGTGGTCTTAAATGTTAAATTCATGTGTTTTGTGCTATATTGAGAAACTATTGACTCTCACTAATGTTTCTAAAGTACTCTGGTCTAGTTCTCCCAAGGTGTGGTGTTTAGACAGTGTAGGTCACACCAAGTACGAATCTGTGCTATTCCCATTTCCCTTACTTGTTTTTCATGGAGGGCAGGAAGAGGAATTGCAGAAGATTGAGAGCAGGAAACATCAAACTTACAGACTGTTCTAATAGGCAAAACATAGGGTGCCAGTGTGTCTCTGTGTGTGTGTGTGAGAGAGAGAGAGAGAGAGAGAGAGAAAGAGAGGGGGGAGGAGAGAGAGAGAGATTATTCACTTAATTTTCAGAAGACAGAAAAAGCTCCTATATCTGAGTTGTTTGTTGAAATCAGCCTTTGCTTTTGTCCAACCAGATTCATTTCTTATTCTGTCAATGTAAAATTTTCCCTCTGTGTATTCCTCTCAGACTTTGCCCTTTGATCATCTGTATCTGGTCTCTGTTCCTTTATCAAATGGTGTTTCTCTGCCTAAAAAAGGTTGTAATTGCTTTTGAACATGACTTGTTTTTTCATCAGAATCCGTGCTGCTTGTCATAGTTATTGCAACATTGTACAAAACATCAAGTCACCATATAACTTAAAATGGTATGTGATTATAAAGCTAGTGAATAATCAACCAGGGCACTTTTTATTTCTATTGAAGCCAAAAGTAAGCTTGTATATCCATGAAATACTCTTTTAATGTCACCAAATGTTTATTTGCCGTGCTTATCTGTCACTGAATGGGAGACTACACGCTTCTTTTTGTGAAAAGGGAATAGAAAATTTGAGCC